TAAACGGGGGAGTATCGGGGGTGTAGCTCAATGTGAAGGCCCTGGGTTCAATTCCCAGTACAAAACACACACACACACACACACATGCACTCCACAGTGGTTATATCCTCGTTATAGTACAGTGTCAAAATCTGGGATTGACATTGGTGCAGTTGATACCAGACACAAAGCAAGTGTTGTCTCAGTGGTAATAAAAATTAAACTGAGGCAAAGAGCACAAATTCAAAGGCAGAGACTTTAATTGAGAAGGAAGAAGAAATGGGGAAGAGAACTGGGCTTGAGAAGAGTTGAAAGGGGCATAGAGCTGACCTAAAGTCAGACTGGCCTTTTCATAATGAATAAGGCAAGCTTTCCATTCATGAGTAGGGGATGCAGGTGTGGGCTAAAGTCTGGCAATTTTTCACTGGTCTTGGGCAGTGCTTTAAAAAGTGTTGTCATTTCCTGTGCAACTGTCTCGGCCTTAAGGAATGGTCAGCCTTTTTATCCCTGCCCTGCGTGAACATCCTGGCCTTGTGATAAGGAAGAGCTGCTGTATTTGCAAAGTGAACATGTGGTGGTGCAGGAAAACATGGTCATGCTTTTTAACAAGTACAGTAACAGGTTTAGGGGCCAGGAGTTTGTTCTTCCTTTGCTTTTGTGTGGTGAGTCCTGACAGTTTTATTCTTGGAGACTTTATGGCAAAGGCATCCTAGCTTTAATGATGCACTTGGCTTTTGATTATTTGAGAGGGTAAAGAGATTGGATTTTTTTGTTACTTTGTTTGCAATGCAAGAGATCTAATCTGAGGTATCGCACATGCTAGGCACATCTACAGTTTAGAGTGAGAGGGTAGGGAAAAACAGCATACTTTTTTTTTTTCATTAAGTTTATTGGTACATTTTAAGTGTATACTATGATGACATATATCATTGGGAATTTGCACCTTTACATGATACATCTTGGTTCTTATTTTTTCCCCATTCTTCTACCCTCCCTTCAACCCTTTCACCCCTCCTGTTTACAAAGACTGTTTCCATTTTTTCCTTTTCTCATATTTTTTCCTTTTCTTTCTTTCCTTTCTCCTACTCCTTCCACTTCCTTCTCCCCTTTTCACCTTTTCTTCCTGTTTCACATGATCTATTATACTTTTTTTTTTTTTGGTACCGGGGATTGCGAGGCAGGTGGCGGAATCACTTGAGCCCCCGGCTATCTATTATACATTTTGATTCTTATTTACACTTTCAGTTTCTCACACCAGAGAAACTAGTTAATATTTACATATGTGTGTCCTGTTTATTTCACTTAAGAGTATGACCTCAATGTACATCCATTTAGCTATGACTCTAATGACTCTAGTTTCTCATTCTTTATGGCATAACATACTTTTAATGGGTAACAAGTCCTGGGGTAAGGCCTCCAGAGAGCACATACTAGTTGTCCCCATAGTGTCCTCTGTCTTACGGTGAATAGATTTAGAAATGGAAAACACAACAGGCTTCTGACATCAGTTTAGGGTTAGTTAACCCCTGTCCACTAAGTAAGCAATACTTACAACGCAGCAGAAGGCATCAGTTAGATGTCCTCTAATCCAATTTAGTTATGCCCTCCTCAGATTTTGTTTGTTACAAGCAGGTCACAGAACTCAGGGAAACATGTTTACCCATTTATTATAAAAGACATGACATTAAAATGTCAGTTGAAAAATGCTATTATCAACCTGGTGTGGTGGTGAGTGCCTGTAATCCCAGTACTCAGGAAACTGAGGCAAGAGGATTGCTGCACGTTCGAGGCCAGCCTGTGCTATAGTGAGTTCAAGACCAGCCTGAATTAAATTGTGAGACCCTGTCCCCCCCAAAACAATAAATGCTGCTTGTCAAATAAAAGGATAGTATATCAGCATATGAAAGGGTCAAAGATACCATACCAGATTTCATAAAATTGGCTGAAATATATGTAAACTAGAAGCAAATAAATAATACCTAAAATATAACTCAATGATCTGATTAAAATTAGACCATAATATCAAATGCATAGAACAGAATTACATTATTTATGAATCATTTGTCAAATAGCTTCTCTTATTTCAGATGCTCAAATTGGCTTCTAATGGTTTGTCAGATAAAGTTTTCCATAATGAACAATAGTTAAAAAAAAAACAAATACAGGATATGACAAAGTAAACAAAGAGCTACGTTTGTGAAGAGAGGCAGAAGAAACAAGGAGCTTCCATGCCTTCCCCCAACACCCCTTCTGGAAGCTTCCTGGACTCAGTCCATTTGGGGAGTTTTTATAGGTGCTTCATTATGTAGGCACGATTAATTAAATCATTGGCCATTGACACTCAGCTCAGCCTCCTAATCCTGCCACCTTCTTTGAGTGACCAGCCCCACCCTGAAACCATGTAAAGGCAGCCAGCTACCATTTACCTGATTAGCATAGAAAATGACACACCATTTTGGAGAGTCCAAAGATTTTATGAGAAAAGGCCAAATAAGCATTTCACCACATCACAACAATGTATTTTTATAAATCTTGATATTTAGTAGTTTTCTCACTTCAAGATTTTTACTAATCTTTGCTTTTTGTATTATTTTAGAATGACTTGTCAGTTTTCAGACTCCTCTGCCCTCCCCTTCAAGACCTGTCAAATTTTTTTTGTTTGTTTGTTTGGTACCGGGGATCGAACTCGGGTCTTTGCGCTTGTGTAGCAGGCGTCGAAACCATTGAGCCAAATCCCCGGCCCCACCTGTCAAAATTTTGATTGGATTTGTGTTGGTTGTACATGGAAGTTGGCAAAACTTACAGCTCTAAGGCCAAAACTGGCCTAGTACCTGCTTGTGTGAATGAAGTGCAGCTGCTTGCATCTGGTCACACATAGTGGCCCCTTTATGCTGCAGTAGTGAAGTTAAGTTGTTAGGGTTCTGAGCTGTGTGATGATGTTACAGTTCTCTGTGCAGGGGTCTTGGACCTCTTTCATTAGAATTTATTTTTAAGTATTTGGTTATTTGTGTAAGTGGTATCTTTAATTGAAATTTTTATTGAGATAATTGTGTAATCACATAGTTGTGTTCTGACTTCTATCTAGATGTCCCCCTAAAACCTCATGAGCTCATAGGTGGGGCTTTTCGGAGCTGGCTGGATCTAGAGTGTGTGGTACTGGGATTAAGGGTGGGTGGTATTAAATTAACCCACTGATTGGTTTGGCATAGTTCTGGATATGGATAATGGGAAGGCCCAACCTGGGTGTGGATGGCACCACCTAGAAGGCTGGTAACCTAGATGGAATATAAAAGGAGAGAAGGTATGCAGGTTTGCTACTGCTGCTTGCTGCCTTCTGCTTGCCATGCCTCCCTGCTTTGGAACCAGCTGACTATGGACTGAAAACTGTGAACTGTGAGCTGAAATAAACTTTTCCTTTTTTAACTTGTGGGTGTTGGATATTTTGTCTCAGCAATGAGAAAAATAACTAAGACAAGTTGTATGTAATAATGTGAAGAAAACCCTTGTATACTTTTTTTTTGGTACCGGGGATCGAACTCAGGTCCTTGCGCTTGCGCAGCAGACAGCGAAACCGCTGAGCTAAATCCCCGGCCCCCTTGTATACTTTGACCAGCTTCTTCTAGTGGTAGTATTTGATGAAATACTAGTACTGTACCACCAGGATACTGATGTTGACATGATCTACAGATCTTAGATTTCTTGTTTCACTTGTACTCCTGTGTGTGTATGTGTTTGTGTGTGTGTGTACGCATGCATGTGGATGTGTTAAGTTCCTTACAGCCTATTGTCTAGGTACAGTTGTGCATCCAGCATCATGGTCAACATCCAGAACAGTCCAGAAATCATTTCTAAGTTCTTTGTATTCCCCTTTATAACCATACCCACCTATCTCCCCACCATCTGCCTCCCTACCCCTTCCCTTGGCAACCACTAATCTCTTCTCCATTTCTAAAATCTTGTCATTTCAAAATATTATTTAAATTAAATCATATAATATATTATCTTTAAGAATTACTCTTTTTTTTTTTTTTTTTTTGGTATCGGTGATTGAACTCAGGACCTTGTGCTTTCGAGGCAGGTGCCGGAACCACTGAGCTAAATCCCCGGGCCCAAGAATTACTCTTTTGCTCAGCATAATTTCCTTTAAAGTCACTGAGTGTCATGGTGCATGTTGTAATAAAAACACTACATTGTGAGTTCATGGCCAGCCTGAACTACATGGTGACCCTGTTTTAAAAAAACCTAAATAAATAAACATCAAGTTTGTATGTCTCTATACAATTTTTTTTTCTTCTTTTTGTTCCGGGGATCGAACTTGGGACCTTGTGCTTACAAGGCAGGTGACAGCACCACTGAGCTAAATCCCCGGTCCAAATTTTTTTTTTTTTTTTGAGACTGTCTTACTGTATAGCCCAGGCTGGCCTCAAACTCATGGTGATCCTTCTGCCTCAGCCTCCTGACTGCTGGGAGTACAGGAGTGTACTACCATGTCCTACTTCCTTATATAATTATATAGGATATGGTTCTTCCTTTTGTGTTTTCTGAAAGAGTCTGTGTAATTTGGGGGTTATTTTCTCTAAAGTGATAGAATTTGAGACAGGGTCTTGCTGTGTAGTTCAGGCTATACTTGAGCTCACTATGTAGCCCAGGCTGGCCTCGAACTCATGGCAATCCTCCTGCCTCAGCCTCCTGAGTTCTAGGATCACAGGCATGCGCCACCATTTATGTGTCAAATAGTGGCTGTGTGCAGGAGCCTGTACTGCCCTACTGGAGACACAATGTCCTGCTCACACAGTGCTAATCTAACCCCAATCTGTGCAGGAAACTCCTCACAGGTACTGCTGCACTCTAGGGCTCTCTGTCCTGGGAGGGTTGTTTCCTATAATTTTTTTTTTTAGCACGTCTCTTGTCATTTCTCTTCCAAATACTTGGAAGTTAATCATTCTCATGAGAGTTCTTAGAGGAATGTCCTGGCTGTATGGGTTTAGCCCTGTTTGTTAATCTTGTGTGTTTGATTGCAGGTGATTATGTTCTTGAAGAAGAAGGACAAGTTCATCAGCCTGGTGCTGAAGCACATGGGCACCTCGGCACTCATGGACTTGCTGCTGCGCCTGGTCAGCTGTGTGGAGCCTATGGGGCTCCGGCAGGAGGTCCTGCACGTGAGTGCCAGGGTGGTGCTGTCCCATTCTCTGCAGGGGCCTGGCCCTAGCAGCTCTACCCAGCTCCTCGGCAGACATTACCATCAGGGTTCCTGTCTGTACCTTGTCCTACTTTAGCCCATTCAGAAGGAGAGTGCCTTCTCCTCCAGCATTCTCTGGCCCCCTGCTCTGTGTTAAAATAGAAGCAGGCTTTGCTCACCTCCAGCCCTTACTCCTGATGTACCCACTGGGTCTTGGAGCAGGGGCTCAGTAGCTAAGTGGCTCCACACAAAGGCTGTTAGTTATTCTAGAGTGTGGATGAGTCTGTCCTGAGGATTAAAGGACCTGCCTGTAGTCCCTGGAAAGAGGAAGGTTCCCAGCCCTGAGGGTGCACTTGTGCTCCCTGTTGTTTGGCAGGCTTTGTGTTGCAGTTTGAAAGTTACAAGCTATTGAGACTTTGCTCTTTTTTTTGTCAGATGTTGTAAGTGGTTATTCTCACTCTTGGGACCATAATTCATTTCCTCATGGTGCTAACATTTATACAGTGAAAGATGCGCATCAGCTGCTGTTAGTAACTACTAGTGGGAAGCCTGCATAACTATATACCATACATGGGTCGAGGATTTAGCTCAGTGGTGCCACCACCTACTTTGCAAGCATGAGATCCTGAGTTTGATCCCCAGTACTAAAAAAGGAAACAAACAAACTATATGCCATCCAGCCTTTTACCTGTATTACTTTATTCTGTTTGCAAGGCAGCCCTGTGGGTCAATTTCCCACCCCTATATAAAGGGCATCAAGTGCACCAGAGGAGCCAGGTCTGCCAGCTCTGCTGTGCCCTGACATGATCATACTGGGCCTCCATTGCCCTTGACCTTGAAGAGTGTCAGCTTCAGCCTTTACTGTGCTTGTACAGCTACCCCAAGGTCTTTCTACTCTTCCTGGTCCTGGAAAGGCCCCGATCCTGTAGGGAGCTGCAGCATATGTGGCTTCCATGTTCAGCTGGGCTCCAGGGCTTGTTTCTTTGGGCCCATCTGTACCCTGGGCTTCTGAGATGTGTCCCAAAAGTGTGTGAGCACCATTAGGTCAGATGAACAATAATCTACCCACTTAAACTCTTTGAGCCACTCCAAGAGTTTATTTCTTGGTCTTCTTTCTGGGTTCTGGTTAGACTAATGTGTCAGGCAGAGCCTGTCCTAGGAAACCTGGGTGGATGGGTGTCTGCTGCACCAAAGGAACTTCTTTCCATTTAGTTAGATGTGAGCAGAAATGTTGATGGGCCTTTTTTTTTTCTTCCTTTTCAGTGGCTTAATGAAGAGAAAACCATCCAGAGACTTGTGGAATTGATCCATCCACATCAGGATGAAGACGTGAGTCTCACAGAGTCCATCTTGTTATATGAAAGCCATGTGTGTGGGCTGTCAGAGCACCCACTGCTGCCAGAGCAGGGGACAGGTCACTCCTCTCTTCTCCTCTGAGCACCAGTTAGATAAATCTCTTCCTTTAATCAAGTTCTAACATCTTGACAGGTTTTTGTTTATTATTAAAAAGTATTGCATAACAGCTGGGAATATAGCTCAGCAGTACAGTGCCTCCATGGCAAGTGCAAGACCCTGAGTTCGAGTCCTAGTAAAAACAAACAAAACAAAAAACTAATGCAAGGGCCAAGGACGTAACTCAGTGGCACCATGCCTGCCTGGCAAGCGCAAGGTCCTGAGTTCGATCCTTGGTACTAGAAAAAAAAAATAACGCAATTAAAAAAAAACTTGGGCCGGGGATTTAGCTCAGTGATTCCACCGCCTGCCTCGCAACCAGAAGGTCCCGAGTTCGATCCCTGGTACCAAAAAAAAAAACACCAAAAAAACCTAATGCATAACAGAGCTAGGGGTATAACTCAGTGGTAGAATTCTTGCTAGTGTGTGCAAGGCCCTAAGTTTGATTCCCAGCACTAAAAAAAAAAAATTAAAGCAGCATATGATTTCAATGTGGTTAGTGACTGTTTCTTGACTTTTTGGCTGAGATCAAGTGTAATGAGCCCAGTGAAGTCTAACTAACCCAGCCCCAAAATTATAACATGTATAAAAAATTAATAATATGTATTATAAAAACAGTCTACGCCTGCCTCGAAAGCACAAGGTCTCGAGGTCAATCCCTGGTACCAGAAAAAAACAAAGATCGGGCTGGGGATTTAGCTCAGTGGTTTCGCCACCTGCTGTGCAAGCGCAAGGACCCGTTCAATCCCCAGTACCAAAAAAAAAATTTAAAAAGACAGTTCAGTTAGGCATGGTGGTGCACACCTGTAATCCCAGCACTTGGGAGGCTGAGGCAAGAGTTCAAGGCCCTGAAGTTTGAGGCCAGCCTGGCCTGCATAATGAGTTCAAGGCCAGCCTGAACTACATAGTGAGACCCTGTCTCAAAGAGCCACCTCCCCCAAAACCAGAATTCTAACAGGCAAGTTCAAACCCTGCCTGGGCAATGTAGAGACCCTGTCATAAAATAAAAAATAAAAAACCATCTGGCTGGAGATAAAGATCAGTGCAAAGGACCTGGGTTCAATTCCCAGTACTCCCCCCACCCCCAATCATCTTGAAGAAGGGTTGCCTAAACAAGTCCTTTTTATTTCTAGCAGTTATTATAGTTGGGTATCCAGCAGAGGGCTAGTAGCCCCTCTGCTCAGGGTCTCTCACAAGGCTACAGTCATCTCAGGGCTTAACTGGCTTAATTTAGGGAAGCTCTACTTCCACAGCCACAGTGCCTTGACAAAATTCAGTTCAGGGCCTGTGGCATAGGCTGCCCTCAGCTCTACACCATGTGGGCCTCTCACAGGGCAGGGCTCTCACCTTGAGGCATCCGGGTTCATGGAGTGAGCTGGTCCTAAAGCAGACTTCTTCAAGTCCATCTTAAAAAATGACAGCTCTCACTTAGGCTGCATTCTGCTCTTTAGACTTGAATGGGTTCAACCCACACAAGGAGAGTGGTTTCCAAGGGCATGACTTCCAGGATAGGGTGACTAGGGGGATCCTAGAAGCTTCCCACTGTAATTCCATTAACATGTGAGGTGATCTGTAGATACAGAAGCGAAAGCCAGCTCCAACCTAGGGTTTCCTACTGAACAGATCACTTTGCATGCCACATGCAGAAGAGTTACCCCACACACTAAGCAAGAAGTCAGCTTTCCACTGGATCCCGCTGGCTTTCTTCGAGTTCAGTTCGGTTCTGAATCTCTATTTGGAGTTTGCTTCAGATCCCACAGGTTGAGGCTGGCTGTAAATTAGGCTTCTCGGTCTCCTCCCTGGGTTTGATTAAATTGCTTGAAAGGCTCACAGAACTCAGGGAAACACATGTCCTGGTTTATTATAGAGGTTATTACAAACTATACAGATGAAGAGATGCATAGGGCAGAGCATTGAGGAAAGGGTGCAGAGCCTTGTCCCCTCACCAGGTGTACACCCCAGAAACATCCACCTGCTTCCCTCTCCAGACACTACCAAGACCCAGACCTTTGGGGGTTTTTATGAGGACTTCAGGGCATTGGCATGATTGCTAATAGAATAAGAAGGGAAACCCAACAAGGCCATCTGGTCAGACTCTTCTTGGCCTCACTGTGCAGCATTTTTCCTTCCAGGTCATGATGCAGGATCTCTCTGCAAAGAGGAGAGTCTTGTCAGACAGGAAGATCAGAGTCATGAACCAGGAACTGTGGATGAAAGCCAGATAAATATTCAAGCCAGGTGTGGCAGCACACACCTGTCATCCAAGCAACTTAGGAGGCTTGGGGCAGGAGCATTACAGCAAATTCAAGGCCTGCCTTGGCTACATAGTGAGTTCAAGGCAAGGTTCAGCTTGAAACACAAAATACAAAAGAAGACCCTGTCTCAAAAATATAATCTTTTTTTGGGTTCTGGTCCTGGGGATCAAACTTAGGACCTTGTGCTTGCAAGGCAGGCGTGTTGCCACTGAGCTAAATCCCCAGCCCTCAAAAATATATTCTTATTGTAGCATCATAGTTGACAGCAGGGCTTCCTCTCTCAGTTTCCCTCCCTGGTCCTTGTGGTAATCGCTGGTGAGAGTGTGGGTTATATTCTGAGAGGCCTATGCATTGCATATATTCTACACACACACACACGCGCACACACACATACACACACACACACATTCTGATCTCAGCAATTTTGAAAACAGTGGTGTTAACTCATGTCCAAGGTTTTCATTGCTACTTGGTCACTACTTTGTCCCTCATCAGCCCACTGAGCTAGCCAGACAGTTGGGAGAGGCTGCATTGGCTTCTGTAGGAAGCAAAGAGTCTGCTCTGTCTGATATGTAGAGCTCTTGGTATGAATGTCATGGGTTCAGTGCCAGAGACAACCAGCTGTTATCCTTTCCCTGAAGTAGACTTGCTGCAGTACACATGCCATGCTTCGGGGGTTTAGGGGTGCTTTCTCTCTGGGTCACACTGTCTCCCACAGAGCACCCCGTTGTAAGCCAGTACACATTTGAGTCAGGGTGGGGCAGGGGCGGTATTCATGTTTCCCTAGGAAAGTTGAGTTCCCTCTTCTCTGTAATGACTTCCCTATTTTTCCTTAGCTCATAGGAGTCTTTCTGAATAATAGCAGCTACTTATCATTAAATTGAAAATATAAAATCACTTAACTTAGTCACATGTTCAGTATATCTCAAAACATGGATCAAAGGTATAGAGCAACATCTGTGTAGTGTATTTGACCATTTGGGGTCCCATTTTGAATACCTGGGAATGGGCAGTACAGCTAAAAAAAGAAAGAAAAGAATCTAACAGATTTTCTTTTTCTTTTCTTTTGGTACCAGGGATCGAACTCTGGTCCTTGAGCTTGCGCAGCAGGCGGTGAAACCATTGAGCTAAATCTCCAGCCCTTTTTTTCTTTTTAGTACTGAGGATTGACCCAGGCCCTTTGCACTGAACTACATACCTAGCTATTTTTTAAAAATGTATTTTACTTTGAAATGGGGCTTGCTAAGTTGTTCAGGTAGGACTTGAACTATGATCTTTCTGCCTCAGCCTCCCAAGTAATGGGAGTGTGTACCACTGTGCCTAGCTCAAGTCTACATCTTGACAATGAACAAGGAGATACAAGCTGCTTTGAAATGAAATGAGCCTGTTATCCTGGAGTCATTGTAGAAAACTGCCTCTGAGAAAGTTTGAATCTGGCAGTGGTTTGGCAGTGGTTTGCCCAGAGGCTGGTCCGGCTGCCAGCTGTAGGTAACTGAGACATCTGTTTCCCTGTCTTTGCAGAAGCAGTCGAATGCTTCTCAGGCACTCTGCGACATAGTCAGGCTGAGCAGAGACCAGGGAAGTCAGCTACAAGAGACTCTGGAGCCAGACCCCCTCCTTACAGAACTGGAGTCGTGAGTACCGGGGTGGGTGGGTGGGGGTGCTGTGGGCCTTGCTCCAGGTCATGGAGATGTGCTGGAACCCTGGTGAGCACCAGGATGTGCTGTTGCCGCCTCTGATTCAGTCGGATGAGCTCCCCAGTTCAGACCCGGGGAGGGTCTTGAGTCCCCAGCAAGATAGGAGCCTGAGGCTCTGCCTAGAGCAGGTTGTTGTAGGGTCTTCCGGGAAGGAAAGCATTGCTGTGTCACATGTCTTCTCTGACAGGCAGTGACCTCTATGTGTGCCCGACAGGCAGGACTGTGTGGAGCAGCTTCTAAAGAACATGTTTGACGGAGACCAGACAGAGAGCTGCCTGGTCAGCGGAATGCAGGTGCTGCTTGCCTTGCTGGAGCCACGGCGGGCTGGGTGAGCCTCTCCCTGAGAAAGTGGGGCAAGCTACTCCGATACTGCAGGATGTGGGTGCCCAGAGACTGGCTGGCCCGTGTGTTTAATTTTTGATTATGCATGTAAGAATGTGGATAGCTGTCCCTGGTTGCAAAGGTCAACTTTAGCTGGGTATAGTGACACACTTTTAACCTCAGCTACTCTGGAGATTGAGGCAGGAGAATTGCAAGTTCAAGGCCAACCTGGACAACTTAGCAAGAGCCTGTCTCAAAAAATAAAGGACTGGGGATGTGGCTCAGTGGTAGGGTGTTTGCCTAGTATGGCCAGGGTCCTGGATTTAATCCCTACTGCTGGAATAAGAAAAGGGAAAGGCAAGAGAAGAGGTCAACTTTTTGGCTACAGCCAAGTCTTCTGGCTCTCACCGTCAGGAGTGAGCCCAACCCAAGGGCCATGCATTTATACATGTGTGGAGTAGTTTAGTTTCCCAGCACTGCTCCAGCAGGTCCTTATAGCTTATACGTACCACTATAAGGGGTTCCACTCTGATATACCGCTATGTTTTTACGTGAGTACAGTATCTCCCGTGCCAGGGCAGGGCCTCATCTTTGTCTCCTAAGCTGGGTGAACATGCATGCTCATCTCTCTGTGAGCAATGAATCAGGAATAGGGCTGTCCACCTTCTTTTTCACTCATCAGATGTCATTTGAATACCTACCTTGTTGCTTACACAGAGGCCCTAGGAGACAAAGATAACTAAGATGTAGCCTCTCTTCTATTGCTCCCAGTCTGGCCTAGAAGATCAGCTTGCAGATAGCAGTTCTGCAGTGTGGAAGGTGCAGTAGCCTGGCACCTGGTGCTGCGCAATCCATGAAGTCGGGCTAGTGGGTGGCCCTCACTAGTCAGGGAGTGTTTTCCTTGAGAGGTCCCAAATAGAGACAGTCTTGACAATGAGGGGCTCCTGCTATGGGCACCAGTAGGGGGCAGTGATGTGTGGGGATGGGTGGAGCTTATGTGGAGGTACCCCTGTGTCGTGAGCCTTGGAAAGGTTGCCATACTGGCTGTCCTCAGGTACAGCTATTGGAAGCCTGTTGAGGTAGAGGCAGAATCCCAGTTCTCAGCCAAGACAGGGAAACAGCAAGACACACAAGTGTGGATGAAAGGTTAAGTTTATTGGGGATACAGGTGGTTAAGACCTTTCCCAGACACCAGGCAGAAACCTAAGGAGGTATTTGAAACTGCTTTGAGCATGCAAGGGGCCACTGACAGAGTCATTGGAAGAGGGATGATCTGAGGTCACCTGTGCACTGCAGACAACACAGCAGCATGGGGAGTCAGCAGCAGGGTTCATCGACCCAGGAACCCTTGCAGGGAATGCTAGATAGGTGCTGGTGTTTCTGGGTCCTTGTCCCGGGGCCTCACCTGCTAGGGTAGTGATCTGACTCTTCCAAGGTGACTGCAGTTCTTTTATTTCCATATGCTGGGGAGAACTTCATTACCCCTGGCACTCATAGCTTATCCCCTGCCACACCCCGTACTGGGATCGAACTCAGGACCTTGCACTTGCAAGGCAGGCATGGCACCACTGAGCTACATCCCTGGCAAAAGATTCTGCTTTCTTGTTTTGTTGTTGTTGTTTTTCTTTTTTTCCAGTACTGAGGATTGAACTCAGGACCTGTGCTTGTAAGGCTGGCAAAATCCCCAGCCTTGTTTTTTTATTTTTTAAAGAGAGAAAAGACAAGAAATCCCCAGCCTATGTTTTTGTTTTGTTTTTTTTAAAGAGAGAAAAGACAAGAAATTGGCTTAATCTTAATAGTGAGATTATTCCCTTTTTCTATCCATCCCCCAATATATAGTTATTAGTTTATTTTCTAAAAATAGAATTATATTCAGCAACTGGAGTGTTGATTTATCTAATTACAAATCCAGGAAACCTTGGCTACGTCTGAGGACCTAGCCCAGCCCCACATGTGACAGAGAGACAATGAAAAAGGAAAACAGATAAATCAGCTGTTTCTCTTTGTTTTGTTAACCCTTTTATGTATTTAGAATTTTTCCTATAGCAACCTCTGTAACTTTTATTATTTGAAAAAATAGTTAAATAAATATCTCACTTAGAGAAATTTTCCTTGAAAAACCAAGAAGATAATGTGGCCAATCTGTCTCCTGTTTCTTGGTTGATACCTGGAGACACCAGTAAATATTTTCAAAGCAGGTAGAGTGAGCAGGCCCCATTAGGGGCCTGGGGGAACAGGGCAATGAGTCCTGTGCCACCAGACCCTAGCCCTGTGGTCACCTGGGAACATTTTCCTAAAGGCCCTGGTGTCTTTCTCTTCTTTCTGTACCAGTCACCAAGTCATGTTGGAGGTCTTGCATAGTGTCATTCTTGAGATTTCTCTTTGAGAGAATTAAAAAGAGCTCTTTCTGAAGGAACGTGAGTTGGATGCTGGCAAGGTGCATGAGATGTGCATGTGGCACAGTGCATCCGCCGAGGCTCCATCTGCCATCCTCATTCACAGGACAGAGGGTTTGGTGGACTCCTTTTCTCAGGGACTGGAAGGGTCACACACTGTCAGCAGCAGTGTCCTGAATGGCATTGAGCCACGGCTGAAGGACTTCCACCAGCTCCTTCTCAACCCACCGAAGGTAAAGGGCTGTGAACCACTGCTGGGGCGTTTGGGGACCTCATTAGGATGGGGTGATGTGCAAGGAGAGGACCCCCACAGTGATCCCCAGTGAGTGTGCTCTGACATTGCCCTTCCCAGGCCCTATTTGAGAACCATCAGGCAAATACCAAACCCCATTCTTTCTGGATGCTCTCCCTTCATCTCTCATGGGGAGAGGGAGCATTTTCCAGCCTCCAAGTTGGCAGCACCCAACCAAGGGCTTCTGGGCCTCTGTGGGAGTCAGGGAAGCCCTTCTCACCCAGCAGCTCTGGGCAGTGCTTGGGTCATACTAAGGAAGGTGGAGTACAAAGATCTCTGATACCCTTGCTGTCTGCCGTGGCCCCTCTTGTTTCTTTGGCCTCATGTCATAACCACTCTCTCAGGTGCAGCCCCATCCCTCTTCCCTGGTGCTTCTCCTCAGCACCCATACCACCCTATGACATCTCTTACTGACATCTGTTACTTACCAGCTTGTTTGTTGTCTACCTTCCCCACTAGCAAGCAAGCTCAGTGGAGCCAGGGATTTTATTCTGTCAGCCTGTAATACTCAGTTAATGAAAATATAGTTGCATTATGCTCCTGTGAGGGATCAGAAAATACCCACATCCAATCTGATGAGGGGAGCTTTCCCATCCTCTGAGTATTTTGGGAATCTGTTAACTCAGATTCCTCAGGCTGTTGCCCCAGAAGGAGCTCACAACATTTGTAGTGAAGTGTTGTGCTGGGGACTCCCGTCTGACAGTCTTCTGGCCCTCAGGTTGGCACTGGTGACTCTTTGTGGACACATCTCATAGGCCTGCAGGCTCAGACAAGATTCCCTGGGCTTCCCACCTCGCTCACTCTGTCAACCCTGAGGGGAACTGTGGGTGCTTCCCTCTGTGGACTCCTTCACTTGCTCCTGCAGGCAGTTCTGCCTTGAGGAACCCCCATATCCACACCCTACTCCCCCCAGCATGGGTCACATCATAAAGCAGTGGCCCTGGCCCCTGAGTAGTTGCCATGTGAGCCTTGAAAACTCAGCAGTGACCATACTGGTCCCAGGGCTCCCAACTGGGTGGTGCCTCCTGTGTTTGCAGAAGAAAGCGATCCTGACCACCATTGGAGTGCTGGAGGAGCCACTGGGAAACACCCGTCTGCATGGCGCTCGCCTCATGGCTGCGCTGCTGTACACAAACACACCCACCATCAATCAGGAGCTCTGTCGGCTGAACACCATGGACTTGCTGCTGGTGAGTGGGCATCTCAGTCAGCCCTATGTGTCTGCATGTGCCATGTATGACAGACATGCAGATGTGCTAGGCAGGAGAGCAGTGAGGCAAGGTCCATCAGGGGCCCTGAAGAAAGGCCTGGAGCAGAGAGGTGTGGGTTCCACAAACCCCAGTGGAGCACACAGAGGACAGCCTGGGGCTTTCAGGAGCCCGCCCTCTACCATGGAACTGCCCTAACACCAGTGTCCAGTCCCATTGTCTTCTCTCTCATATTCTGACTCAGGATGGACACCACAGCTCTTAAATAGAAAATGTCCTGAGCTGGGTGCAGTGATGCACACCTGTAATCCTAACTACTTGGGAGGTTGAGGCAAGGAGGAGCAGAAGTTTAGGGCCAGCCTGGGAAACTTGGTAAGACCCTGTCTCAAAATAAAAAGGAACAGGGATGTACCTTAGTGGTAGGGCAATTGACTAGCATCCCTGAGGCCTGGGTTTGGTCTACAGCACCACAGGGGAAAAAACATGTTCAGAAGGGGAAGCTTCCTGTCGTTCACAGGAGAAAGTTGCCCTTGAGACTGTTGTCAGAGCCACTCCATTCAGCAGAAGCTGCCCAGTGGCTTGTGGGATGCTGTGGGTGTCTGCAGAAAGGGATAGGTGGGCATGGCAGGTGGGCAGCACAGGCTGTGGCAGCAGAGTGGGCAGCAGGTGCCATTGAGGGGAGCTGGGGCCCTGAGGAAGGGGTGCTGGCAAAGGCAGTGCCTTAAGTGGGGGACTGGCAGCAGCTACCACTTTCATTCTACCTTGTCCTGGGCCTCACTCGCAGAAGTCTGAAACCTCCCACAAACTATTTCCCAGAATGAAGATGTTTTTCTGGGGACTGGGCCTGAGGACAGTCACTATTGTGGTTGAAATCCTAGTCTGCACCAGCGGAGTATTTTTTAAAGACCCACTTTCCTTTTCTACTCTTCAAAATAATTTTCTCTCCCAGTCTTTCATTTTTATTTTAGTAAAGTGTCGTAACCTTTTGCCATTTTTAACTATTTTTAAGTGTAAAATTCAGTGGTAAGTACATCTACAATATTGTATAACCATTAGAATTACCTATTTCAGAAGTTTCTCCTTTGGCCAGAGAGACCCCTAAAATGCTAACTTTCCATTCCACCCTCTCCTCAGTTGCTGACAACATCTATTCTGTTTTTTGTTTCTGACTTTGACTATTCTAGGTACATTATATAAGTGGAATCCATGGTGTAGCATGTGATCATTTTCTTTTTTGAGACAAGGATTGACTAAATCTTAAAATGGTCCAGGCTGGGCTCCAGTTTGTGATTCTCCGCCTCAGGCTCCCAGAGTGCTAGGATTACAGGTGTGCACACCCCACCTGGCTAATTTCCTTCCTTTTGCAGTAGAATGGTCTATCATTTCAAGCACTGAACACATTTTTTAAATCTGTCCATCAGTGGACACTTAGGTTTTCCCTACTTTTTTTGATGATAGGGAATAATGCTGCCATGAACACAGGAGCACAAACATCTGTCTGAGCCCTGCTGTGAGTTCTGCTCCTTTGATGCATACGGAGGAGTGGGACTGCAGGGTCGTGTTGACCCCATGGTGGGTTCTTGAGGAACCACCCAGTGCCTTCCACAGCAGCTGCTCCATTGTGCACTCCCACCAGCAAGGTGCAAAGGTTCCACTTTCCCCACATCCTCAGCAACACCTGCTTCCTTTTGGCAACAGCTGTCCTGGTGGTTGTCCAGTGGCTTCTCATGGTAGTTTTGATCTGCATGTCCCTCATGACTAATCATGAGCATGCTTTTTTGTTGTTGTTTTGCAGTGGTGGGGACCTGATCCATACCAGGCAGCTTGACAACAAGCACTTTACATGTACTTACTGGCCATTTGTCTTCTTTGGAGAAATGTCTACCCATTTTTAAATGTCTCTGTTCATTTTTCAATTGGATGGTTTGCTTTTTTTATAATGGAGTTGTAGGAGTTCTTTACATATTCTGGATATTAATCTTTTATCGGGTATATGATTTACAAATACTCTCCCCCTTCCTGTGTGTTATCTTTCACACCCTTGGTGGTGTGCTTTAAGATAAGAACATTTTTAGGCCAAGGATTTAGCTCAGTGGTACCTCGCCTGCCTCAGAAGCGCAAGGTGCTGAGTTCAATCCCCAGAACCAAAAAAAAAAAAAAAAAAAAGACAAGAACATTTTTAATTTTGATGAAATTTAATTTATCTTTTTCCCTCTTTTTGTTGCCTGTGTCTTTGGTGTCCAAATCCAATGTTGTTATTAAAGCTTTTCTTTTTTTTTTTTGGTACCAGATATTGAACTCTGGTCCTTGCACTTGCACAGCAGGTGGCAAAACCACTGAGCTAAATCCCTGTCCCTGATCCATTTTTAATTTATTTTTCTTTTTGTGGCACTAGGGATTGAACCCAGAGTCTTCACACTGACCCATTTCCCCAGCCCTTTATTTATTTTTTAAATTTTGAGGCAAAGTCTTTGCTAAGTCTTTCAGATGAGGCTTGAAGTTTCAATCTTCCTGCTTCAGCCTCCCAGGGTTTTGGGATTATAGGCAGGGGCCACCATGCTTGGCTAATTTTTAATTTTTTTCTTCCTTCTTTTATTAATGTGTGTTTGGAATACATAATAAATACATTCATCATGAGGAATTGGTACATATACATATTGCATCTTGATCCTTTTTTATTTTCCCTCCCCTCCCTCCTGTCCCCCCTAATTTTAGATTTTTTTTTTTTTGGTACTGGGGATTGAACTTGGGACCTTGGGGTTGTGAGACAGGCATCGGAACCACTGAGCTAAATTCCCGGCCCCTGTTTGTTTTTTGAGACAGGGTCTCACTATTAGTTCAGGCTGGGTTTGAACTTGGGGCACTTCTCCTGCCTCAGTCTCCCAAGTTCTGGGATTATAGGTGTGTGCTACCATGCCCAGCTTTGTCAAATACTTTATGAGTTACAACCATAATTTGGTTTTTGTCCTTTGTTCTATTAATATGTTTTATTACATTGATTTTCCTTTCTTTCCTTTTCTTTTTTTTGGTACCAGGGATTGAACTCAGGACCTTGCGTTTTTGAGGCAGGCGGTGGAACTTCTGAGCTAAATCCCTGGCCCCCATTGATTGATTTTCATGTGTGGAAACATTCCAGGAACAAATCCCAGTTTGTTGTGGTGGAATTCTTTTAATATAATGCCGCTTTCCGTTTGCTGGTATTCTACATCAGTATTTATAAGAAGTATTAGTTTTCTTGGGTGTCTTTATCCGACTTTGATAACAAGTTGATACTAGCCTTGTGGAATGAATTAGTGTTTCCTCTTCTTCAGTGATTGGAAGTTTAAGAAGTTATGTTAGTTACTTTTCTCTTGTTGCTGAAACAAAATACCCAACACCCAAAGTTAAAGGAGGAAAAGTTTATTTTTATTTTTTTAAAATTTATTTATTTTTTGGTCTCGGGGATCGAACTCAGGACCTTGCACTTTCGAGGTAGGCAGCAGAACTACTGAGCTAAATCCTCGGCCCAAGGAAAGGTTTATTTAGATCAAAGTTCATAGAGGTTTCAGTCCATAATCTGCTGGCTCTGAGGCAGGCTGGTAAAGAGGCAACAGTTCATGGCGAAGGAAGACAGCAAAAGCAACAAGAGACCTTAATATCTTCCTGCCCCTTTTGTTTTATTCAGATTACTTAGGGAAAGTAGCACTCATACCCTCAATCCTAGTGCCCTTGAGCCTAGCATCCAGCAAAAGCTCCACCTATGACTGCGTGAGGCTTTGGGGATCTATCAAGACACAAACCATAACAGAAGGATTGGTGAAAAAAATTTTCCCTCTTGGTGAAAATTTTTTTTTTTTTTTGGTGAAAATTCTTTATATGTGTGATATAATTTACCATGAAGCCTTCTGCTCTGCTTTTTCTGTAAAGAGGTGGGTGAGTCTGACTCCATGTTGCAGATGAGGTAACAGGCCACCCCCAAGGTGGTCTAAGGTTGCAAAGGCAAAGAAGACAACTGAAGTGTGGGACTGTTTCTGTGGGGAGAAGGACATCAAGGAGATGGGCTTCCTGCTTTCTCTAGCTCCCAAATCCCTGGTATGAGGAATTGGCTAAAACTCATACTGGAGTGGAGTCAACACTTGTCTCAAGACCCATCCCAGCCTTGTGGGCAGTAGGGGATTCAGGGCTTCAGCGGCTGTGGTCTGGGCTGTGTGAGATGAGAGGGAGAGGGCTTAGGGCTCCAAGTTTCAGGGCTGTTCTTCCCTCCCAGCTCAGTCCTATTCTGGAAGGGCCCATCTGTACTTAGGAAGAAGGCGCCTCTGTCCCCCAGTGAGTCCCAAGACATCCAGAACCTCTTCCAGGCTTCTGCCTGTGCTGCCTAGATTCGGGCTCCCGTGGGCCTGTGTAGACATGCACCTTAGGCTTCCTTTTCAGGGGAAGTGCTGCTCATCTCAGGCACACCCCATGGGTTTGAGAGTTGAGCACTTTCACAGGTCAAAGACAAAATCATAATGGAAATTCTCAAATACTTAGAACTGAGGAATGTAGAAAAATATTACTTAGCAAAATGTGTACAGTATAAATTAGGTTTTACAGAGAAATAGGTAGCATTTAAAAAATTTATTCTAGATCTGGGTATAGTGGTGCATGCCTTTAATCCCAGCACTTGGGAAGATGAGGCAGGAGGATTGCTTTGAGTTTGAGGCCAGCCTGAAGTGCATAGCAAGACCTTGTCTTAAAACATCATAAGGAAAGTAAAGGGCCAGGGATTTAGCTCAGTGGTTCTGCTACCTGCCTTGCAACCACAAAGACTGGAGTTCAATCCCCAGTACCAAAAAAAACCAAACAAACAAATAAAATAAGGAAGAGAGTGGGCTGGGGATTTAGCTCAGTGGCACCACGCCTGCCTTGCAAGTGCAAGGTCCAGAGTTTGATCCCTGGTACCAAAAAAAAAAAAAAGGGAGGGAGGCAGGCAGGCAGACTGACTGACTTGCACTGGAAAAGACCAAAAATTAATTAAGCCTCTAACTCAAAGACAAAAGAATAAGCCTGTGGAAAGTAGAAAGCAGACAGTTACTTGGAGAAGAGCGGAGGTCAGTGAGACACACAAAGCAGCAGGTCGGAGAGCGAAGGGCTCCTTACAACGCTCTCACAAGATACCCAAGAAGTTAGGTTTGGGAGTGAGTCCCTTTGCCTCTGGTTCAGCTGTCAGGAAGAACCCATCTAAAAACCTTCTGTCCTCTGTTTACTCAGGACTTGTTTTTTAAGTACACCTGGAATAACTTTTTGCACTTCCAAGTGGAACTATGCATAGCCGCTATTCTCTCCCATGCTGCCCGGGAGGAGAGGGCAGAGGCCGCTGGATCCAAGAGGAGGGTGGAGCCTCCACAGGGAATCAGGAACGGGAATAGGGGCCTGGAGACCCCCCAGCCTGTCGCCAGCCTCCCTGAAAACACAATGGTGACCCACGTAAGTCCAGATCAGCACCCTGCAGGCTACTGCAGGCCGAGCCCTGCCTAGACCAAGGACCCTCGGGTTGGTGGTCTGCTGCCTGTGGTCAGTCCTGCCTGGGCCCTCATGCTGTCCCTAACCCTCACAGGGCACAAGGTATTGCTCTACTTGACCCACAAGGACACTGACTAATGAGAAACATCCAGATTTGCCAGTGTCACAGAGCAGAGCTGGTGATAGGAGATGAGGGGTGGCCAGAGGGAAGGCATTGTATATGCACATTGGTGTTGCTGGTGGGTGCAGTGTCAGCAGGTAGTCACCTGGACATGGCTCCCCCCAGGGCTGTGCTCCTGACACTGCAGTGACCAGACCATGCAGAAAATCCAAGTGTTAGATTTCATGAAAAAAAGCTTTCTGGGACTCTGCTCTTTAGAAACAGGTACATCAGCCTTCACTCTGACTCTTCTTTCTCCTGCCCTTGTGTCTTCCATGCAACTGTGCTCTCACTGCCTCTCTCCTCTGGTTGTGTGAGGCCAGTGTCTGCCTCTCAAGTTCTTTCTGTGCTCAGCATTGAGCTTTGGCAAATAGCAGCCTTAGTATTTTCCAAGCAAGGAAAGGAGGGAGCAATTTGGTGGCATGAGCATAAAGAGGCTCTCTGACCTCAGACCCACTTGTCACCAGTTGTTGAGGAGGTATGGGGCACTGGGGGACAACATGGACCACACTATACACCTGATAGGAGGCTGCACACAGCTTGGGCAGGGGTCCCCAGATTTCCAGTCAGAAGTCTAGGTCCTAAATGTTGTGGGTGCCTTCTCTGTGGGGCCTAGTGGGGTTGACACTGGACAAGAAGAGTCTAGGTCCCTCATCCCTATGGCCTCATTGGTAAACAGCCAGAGGGAAGGTGGTTTCCATGTTGAGAGTACATGGTACATGGAGTACATGGAGTAGGGTGGTGGGGTTGTTCAGGGCCTGCACAGACCAGCAAGGGATCCTGGGGTGTGAGTTGGGGCCCAGGACAAATATCCCAGATACAGGCAGCAATGTGTGTCAGGGCCTGGTAGTGACAAGGTGCTCAGGGCCTCAGCTGCTCCTTCTGGACCCCTGAAAGCAGGGGGTAGGAGTGGACAGAGGTGAAAACAGAAGGTCTGGGAGGCGAGGGCCATTCCAGGGTGTGGGAGGACACAGAGAGTCCGTGAGACTTGGAGGCTCTTGGGCGGTACCTGCCTCTGGTGTTTGTTAGGACCCACAGAAGTCAGGGCTGTGAAGGTGTCACAGCCACAGTGCTGATGGCCTGACTCACTGCCACAGCCTCTGGGGAGAGCATGTAGTCCTGTAAGCCCCAACTCACACAGCCTCCCCCTCCACAGCTGTTCCAGAAGTGCTGCCTGGTACAGAGGATCCTGGAGGCCTGGGAAGCCAATGACCACACACAGTAAGAGCCTGGGGACCTGCCAGTGTAGGGTGCAGACCCACACTTCAGAGGACTCCACACTCAGTGTGGGGCATCAGGGGTGTATGACATGGGGAGTGACAATGTTCAGGGGAGTGGCCTTATCTCCAGGAGCCCACGTGGCTCCTGCCCAGTCTGAGTTGGCCAGACTTTGCACACTTCTGATCCTACATCCATTCCTGATCTTCCCTCTTCCCAAGGACTTGGAGCATCCTGTGTCACTTGTCAGAACTTGCACACAAGGCTGCGTGTTTTAGTCTTTCTGTATCTTTTACATAACTGAGTCTGTCTTCAGGTCAGGAAGCAAGTCTCACATGTCCAGGGCCCAAGGTCACCCCCTGCATTTGCTGTCCTGCTAGGACAGCAGGGCTTTGGGCAGTGGGGAGGGGCTCACAGGAGCCAGGCTCTGAGTTTGGGTTGTGGCTCTGCACCCTAGACCTGTGTGGGGGAGAGCAGAGCCCACCTCCCCAGCGGGAGGTAATATCCATGGAACAGCAGCTACCTGTTCTGCTGCTGCCTGAAGTAATTGGGCCCACACCATGCCCTTCCCACCACAGCCTTGTCATGCACAAGTAGTGTCTGTCCCCCTAGCACTTCTTGGTAAAGGTGGCTGAACCTGTCGGGTACAGTAGGTACTCTCCAGAACCCCGAGTACTAGGATAAGGCTGCTAGCCAAGCACTGAAGGGCCAGGTAGGTCCCCTGGAGGCTGAACTGGGGTCACCCAGAGGGGGTGAGGGCCTGAGTAGAGGTGACAGCAGAGGTGAGCTTCAAGAGGCGTGTGTCACTTGACCTTCCCAGCCACTGGTCAAAAAAGGCCAGGGCTGGGTGGCCACCCTGATAGTCCCTGTCATTTTCAGGGCAGCCGGTGGCATGAGGTGTGGGAATATGGGCCACCTCACACGGATCGCCAACGCAGTGGTGCAGAACCTGGAGCAGGGCCCTGTACAGACCCACATCAGCGAGATCATCCAAGGTGAACCTGCCGCCCTGATCACCTCTGGCCCTCAGCAGGTGGCACCTACAAGGCTGTGGGGTGGACCCTGCAGCCTCCCTTGTTGTCATGCTGTCCCACCCTGTCTTCTCAGGTGGAGCCCAGGTGTCCTCTTTGTGTGGCAGACATCTGTGGGACCCTGTTGGCGACAGAGCACACTGTCCAAAAGACTGGGCTGTTGCGACAGTTCATGGGTCTGACGCTGGCACCCAGCAGCTATGAGCATTGGGCTCTCCTGTGCTCATGGGCCACCAGAGCCCAGCCTGATGCTGGCTGTGCTTTGAAGTCAGGCGGATTAAGGAGCCTTCCTTGTGTGAGCCTCAGGGGAACTGGAGAAGCAGGTGGCATCCTGTTCCTAGGAGCAGGCAGTGAGGGATCATGCCCAGGAAGACTGACCCTGTGGGGTGGACGATCCTGTTCTGGGCTCTGAATATACAGCAGAGTACCCTCTTAAGAGAGCCCTGCCTTCAGCATGGCCACCCACCGGCCTGGAACCCCAGGGCATTGCTTCTTGGCCCTCTCATGTGCTGAGCACATGATCTGGCACCATGGCCACACCCATGTCCTCATCCCAGGGGCTTTGTTTTCTGGTCTGAGTGCATAAACAGGCTAAACAGAGGGGAAGCAGGCCATCCCACCAGAGTGGGATGTGGTCAGGTGGACAGGCAATTGGGCTTGGGGATGTCAGGAAGTGTGTGCATGGTTGGTGGCAGTGCAGTCAGCACCCTGAGTTCATGAGTTGGGGGCTGGCTGGGGTCCTGGTTCTCTTGGAGGGGAGAGGATGGTCTCACTGTGGGGGTGCACAAAGTGCTACCTGGCTCTAGGACTGGGCCTTAACACAGAGGTTAAGTCAGCTGTGTACAGCACACACAGCCACTGGGCATGTGTGATGTAAGGAAGTTCCAGATAGCCCTTGTGCCTCTGAAGCCTCTTGTGAGTGTATGTGGGCTGGGGGAGGGGGTCTCCATGCTCCCGTAGGGGCAAAACAAGCAGAGTAAGGTGGAGGCCCACGAAGGTGCCCTAGAATTGGGCATGTAGAGAGATGAGGGGGCAACAGAAAGCCCTTTGACTCATCATCCTTCACCATTTTCAGGTCATGAATCTCTGGGGCTCTGGCTTCCTAAGAAAAACAGATACACAGCCTGCAGATTGCTGCTGAGCCTAGACCATGATGGGATAAGGAGGAGGGTGGGTTCCTCTGTAGCTTATGTGTTTCTGGACTTCTGCAGGGTGTGCTTAGGCATCAACAAGCAGAGTCAGAGCTCTGGTGTCTGTTGAGTCTCCATAGGGACAAGAAAATGCCCACTGCCCTGCTCAGGGATGTTGCGTCCCATCCTCTGTGTGGCCTCAGACCCTGCAGCACCCTCACTTACCTATGCTGGCCTCCTTCCTATCAGCAAGCCCCTTGCCACAGGAGCATGGCATGTCCCTCCCTGGCCCAAGATATGCCTGGAAATGCTCCTGGGTACCCGCAGTGGCCACATGGGTCCTGAGGGCTCACCAGGCGGCACCTCCCTTATAGGGCTCCCTGCAGATTGCCGTGGACGCTGGGAGAGCTTCGTAGAGGAGACACTGACTGAGACCAACCGGAGGAACACCGTGGACCTGGTGAGGAAGCGGCAGCTCCTGTGGCATGTGTTCACAGCTGAGGACACTGGCAGACAGGCTGAAGGAGGGACAGGGCCACACATACCTGCTTGCCTACCCAGCATGCGCACATGAGCCAGTGTGTGTCCATGAGCAGGTGGTCCAGCCTCTGGCTCTCCCGTGCCAGTGGGGCTGGCTCCCTGAGGGCCTCTGTGCAGAGTTGCTCTGTCCCCTTGGTCCCAGCCCCTCCCACCTCAGGAGCTAGAGTACCTGGGACCTATGGTGTGCCCTGGCACAAGAGAGGTTGGGATGTCACAGGGCCTTGGCCTTGTTTGGCGCTTTACAGCACAGCTTCCCAGGCCAAGATCTGGCAGGCACCAGGCTGGGGTCTCAGACTGTGATGGGTGGGGTTTGGGACTCCATCTGGGTAGGGTCGGGATGTCAGCCAGCTCACATGCCCGCCCCATCTGGCCTGTGTTTTAGGTGAGCACTCACCACCTTCACTCCTCAAGTGAGGACGAGGACATTGAGGGTGCTTTCCCTAACGAGCTGTCCCTTCAGCAGGTGAGGGCGTGGCCGGCATTCTGCACCCTGCCGGGCCCTTTTTGGAGCCCGTGCCCTTGGTAGTGCTTAGTCCCGATGGTATCTCGTAGTAAAGGAGAAAGTGGTTCATCCCCCAGCATGTGTGGGGGAGAGGGGAGCCCAAGGGAGACCCTCCATATCACATCACTTTGGCAAGTCCCTGGGGACACTAAATTTGCGAGTTAACAGCTAGGAAGGTGCTCGAATATGTGACTGCTCTGAGCAAGCAGCCAGAGCATGATGGTTCCCAAGCCCAGCAGTAGGAGTGCGCAGCTGCTTTGCCAGAGCCACCTGGTTTCCAAGGAGCAGCCTTTGGCCGAGGTCTGCTTCATGGGGGCATCCACTCCTCCCAGGCATTCTCTGAGTACCAGATCCAGCAGATGACAGCCCACTTCGTGGATCAGTTTGGCTTCAATGACGAGGAGTTTGCAGACCAGGATGACAGCATCAAGTGAGCCTGGGCGTCTTGTGGACTTGGTCTCTGGGCTAAGCACGACTTCTCTCCCTGCTGCCTGGACCCCTCAAAGCAGCTCCCTGTGGTCTTGTCAAGGGTGTGTCCTGGTGTCCCCTGAAGGGACAGCAAATGTCCACCTGCTGCTTGAGAGTACCCAGGCCCACTGGATCGGCACCAGCAAAGAGGCATCCCCTTTGCTTTTGCAGTGCCCCATTTGATAGGATCGCAGAGATCAACTTCAACATCGATGCAGATCCAGACAGCGTGAGTGATTGGGGCTAGGGGCCATGTGGGCATGTGAGAGCCACTTGCCCAGAAGAGGGACCACGCATGGCTCAGGCTGTGCCGCACATGGTCCTTGTTTTTGGAGGTGGATGGGGCTGTGTGTGTGTGTGTGTGTGTGTGTGTGTGGCTGAGCCCCTCAGGCAGGCATGGGGCCATGGCTTCTCCAAGCTCTGCAGAAATTAGTCTGCATGTTCTCCATCTTACAGCCCAGCGCAGCTCTATTTGAAGCCTGTTGTAGTGACCGAATCCAGCCCTTTGATGATGAGGAAGAGGACATCTGGGAGGATGAGGAAACTCGAAGCACTGCCCGGGTGATGGCCAGAGCCAGGTGCGGGCTCCACCTGTCCTCCAAAGCCTAAGAGCACGTGCTTGACCCAGAGCAGAGCTCAGGCCCAGGGAGGTGGTGGCCCTTCTTTCCTAAGGAGGCCAGAAATGCGGCTGAGAGGCAAGCAATGCATCTCACTCTGAACACCCTGTGCTCAGCCCTGGCCCAAACCCTGGGCCCTCTCTGTCTCTCCAATGTTAGGTGTCCATCTGGGCCATCAGGCATCTGACTATGCCCATGTCCCTCCAGGTTTGGAGCTCCGCACTGCTCAGAAAGCTGCTCTAAGAATGGCCTGGAGCATCGAGGCCAGGACAGGAAGGCAGACTCAGAGGCAGACAGCAACAAACCTGGAGCAGCAACCCCCCTGGCCCTTTTGCAAAATGAAGGCTTCTCCTCAGAAGTTAACTCAGAAGGTAGTGCCGGGGCCCTTTCAGGGGACTCTGTTTCAGGGACAGGACATGGTGCCTGTCCTGTGCATCTGAGGAGCTTCTTTTGGAGGTGCTGCATCGCTGGCTGCTTGTGCCTACGACCTTCGTCCCCATCTGCACATACTTTTATACAAGCTGTTCTCCCACTGTCTGGGTGAGGGATCTGCTCTCTGCTGTGCCTAGCACAGGCAGTCCCCTTCGTTGTGGTCACTTTCAGCTGCATCTGCACGTTTGTGTCCACCTGGTCTCTTGAGGAAGGCTTGCCCCATACCATCTGGATGTTGTGTGTCTTACACAGCCTGACAACCCTCAGATGCATTCAGCTGCTCACCCACCCCACACTCAACCTCTGAGGAGCCCTCTGAGTGGTGCTGAGGTGGCTAAGACATGAGGGAGAGGGAAGGGCCTCTGAAGCCAAGAGCATCTGGATCAGAGATGTCCCCATGCTTGGCCAGTGGCCCAGCCTTGGTCAATGTCCATCCTGGTTTGGACTAGGTGGGGCAGGGTAGGGTGTGGCCATATCATCTTCTGTACCATGAGCCCTCCTGGAGGCTAGATGGGGGTCCCACAGCGGCCTTGCTGAGTTCCACATTAGCAGGAATATGACTCCTACTGTACCACGTGGGTGGTGGCTTTCCAAGGGGGAGAGAACACTGCCTTCTAGTGGGGAGCTGCTGAGGGGTGCTGGTGAGCACCATCCTGGGGAGTTGTGCCTGCTCAGACACCTTCCAAGGAATAGCCTGTGTTGCTCTGTGCTCTGTGGAGTACCCAGCCTGCTCACCCTGACCACTGCATCTCCTTCTGGCAGGTGCTACATGGACAGCAGTCTTTGATGAGCCAGTGAACCCAACAGCCCCAGTCCCAGGAGCTGCGAGGGATGTGGGTTCTAGTGTGTGGGTAGCTGGCGTCTCGGCCCCAGAGGAGAAAGGCTGGGCCAAGTTCACTGACTTCCAGCCTTTTTGCTGGTAATTAATGCATTGGTGGAGTGCAAGGTTGTACCAGGAACTGGCTATTGAGGCCTGAAGCCAACTGACCCAAGGACTTACCCTGTCCTCATCCTCATTTGCAGCTCCGAGTCAGGGCCCAGGTGCAGCTCTCCCGTGGACACAGACCACAGCCATGCTGAGAGTGGCCAGACCCCTGGCCCAGAGAAAGCCTGTGAGTAGGAGCAGTGCAGGCTACCTCCCAGTCTCCTGCAGGGGGACCTGGCCTTGCCTAGTTCCCAGGTCTTAGGCAGGCTGGCCCCACCATCAGGGTCCGCGGAAGTGGCCAAGGTACAGCCATGTCTTAGTGGTGATACCAGATTCATAGACACTTGCGGGGTTAAAACTGACATGTCCGAATCGTGGAACTCCAGCCCTGGGGGTGAGGAGGAGTAGGGCCAGTGGCTGCCTCAGAACCTGGCCTCACCCAGTTGCTTAGCGTAGGTCTGCACTCCCCATCCTGGGCAGCAGTGTTGGGGTCCCAGTGTGGAGGAGTGTGTGTATGGGCCACTGGTAGGAAGCTGACCTGGGGCCTGATCAAAGTTCGTGGCCCCATCCCTTTGTCAGAGAGGCTCAAAAGCCCCCAAGACCAGGCCTAGAGCTCCAGACAGTGGCAGCTGCCGTCGGACACCTCTGTCCTAGATACCAGGCTTGAAGGGCATAGGGACAGGGCCATAAAGCTGAGTGGGCCTCCCTGAGCCTCTGCTTCCTTGTCTGAGAAGAAGCACACGTCTCCCTCTCTTCTGGGTTGGGAGAACTGTCCATATGGACAACACACAGCTCTTTAGTTCTGTGCACAGACTCTCACGTGTGGTAACGTGCAGTAGGCTACACAGGAGATGTTTCTGTCTCGCATATTGGATGCTGCTCCCACTGGTCTGGGGCCCTGAGGCCATGGTAGCTGCTCTCTGTGGCCCTCCTGCCCACATGAGCATCACAGCCTCCTTGTTTTGCAGTCACTTCGGCCTCCCCTTGTGCCTGGAATGCGTGTGTCGCCAGGAAGGCCCCCCTGGTGGCCTCCGACAGCAGCTCCTCTGGGGGCTCTGACAGTGAGGATGAGGAAAAGGCGGCTGGCACTGTGGAAACTGTGAGCTCAGGCCCTGGCCAGGAGGCGCCCCCACCACCCAGAATGGAGGATGCTGCTGGCAGGTGTGTGAGGTGGGAGCAAGTGGGAGCCAGACTGGGGTTCCTCCCTGCTGTCCCGGTGGCCTTATGGTGTACACAGGCCATGCACAGTAACACCTGTGCGTTGCAGTGAGGCTGGACGGGGCACAGGCTTCTTCCTTTGACACAGGGCCTGCTTTCTCTGTTGTGAGTGGCTGACGGGACAGGGCCTGAGTGTCTCAGGAGGGCCCCCCAACCCACGGCAGGGACTTGGGGAAGGGGAGCCCCTACCACAGAAGCCATGATTGCAGAGAACAGCTGGATTGTCAGGGTTCTGGGTCTGAGGTTGTCCAGGATGGAGGAGGGGCAGATGCATGTTTGTCGGGCTCCCTTCCTTGCCGGAGGTCCGTACTGACCCCATGGTGTATGACCACCTCCACCCTGGCACCTGGCTCACTCAGGAGAATGAGGCATATCTCAGGATTGCCCACCAGGGCTCAGACCCTGACTGGGAGGTGCAAGCAGCCTGTAGATAGACAAGAGTCCCTTGATGTGCCCAGAGCTTTCCCTAGTGTAAAGAACAGGGCAGGGACATCTCTCTGCAAGGTCAGCACCATGCATCTCAGCCCTGCAGGAGTCCCTGGAATCCATTAGCAAACAGATCCCCCCAGCCTTTGGTTAGGTGGGGGTTGGAGAACATGGGCATAAGGTGCTTCAAGCTGGCATTGGAAACTGAGGCTGGACCCTATCAGGAAGGGATGAGGTGCCAGTCTCACAAAAGCCCTGTATCCAGCCCTGTGCCTACTCTGAGCCAACTGCACCTGTGGTTCCCAAGTACTGTCCTTGCCTCCACCTGGCCTGAGGTTGAGGAGGGCCCCCAGCCTGACTGCCCTCCCAGCCCCACCAGCATGCAGGGGCCTCAGGCTTGCATCCCTGGCCTACCCTCCCACTCCCCTTGTTGTAGGGCTCCCCCTACCCTGGGGCCTGGAAGGTCTCCAGTGGTGCTGGGCTTTAGCTCACACCCAGCTGGTCCATCCCATGGTACTCACTCCCTGAGACCCTAGGGCAGTGATGGCAAACCTTTTAGAGCTTTCAGTGATAACAGCCGGCTGTGGCATCTGTGGTATAGGTTCGCCATCACTGGCCTACACCATGTTCCAGGGACCCTCCCTAGACAGGGATGGCCTGTTTAATCTACCACTGCCCCAAGGGGATTTGCAGCCGGGGCAGGCGTGGCCCAGGATAGTGGGGCCCACATGCCTGCCAGTCCAGCACCATGACTGAACGGGCTCCTCAGGTTAGGTGTGCACATAGGGCTCTGGAGTAGAACTTCTTTAAAGTTTAGAATCACTAAAATTCTTGGTGTGTGTGGCGGGGCCGTTGAGACAGGGCTTCACTATGTAGTTCAGGCTGGCCTTGAATTCACTAGGTAGCTCCGCTTGGCCTCAGACTCTCGGCAATCCTCTTGCCTCAGCCTCCTGAGTGCTAGAATCACTAAAATTCTTAAAACTTTTATCTTCGTTCCTGAAATGTTTCCTAAAACCTGCTTAACTACTATAAAAAGCAGGTGTCATTCTGCAAAGTTGGCTGCTTTTTCCCATGGCCATCTGTGTAAAACCTGCCACTTACCTATACCACTGCAATGGTCCCAGCCAACCTGGGGTGGGGGGGACCTTTCTTGCCCCCACTGCCATCTGGGTGCCCCTCCCTGGGGCAGATCAGGAGACCAGAAACCCTGTCCGCTGATGGTGTTGGGGCTAGTCTCAAGGTGCCTTCCTGACATCTCTTGCCTCTGCCACCCTTGAGAGAGCTCATCACTCCTGTCCCTAGAACAAGGCGGGAGTTCAAATCACACAACAGAGACACCTGGGGCTTGGAAAATGTGGCATCTCATAGGGTCTGAGCACTGCTTGGGAGGAGGGCTGATGTCATGGTGTTTGGGACACAGGGCAGCAGAGCATGGCTTCTAGGCTAACCCCCAGAGGGCAAGGAAGTGGTGGGAAAGTGCTGTGCTTCTGGGCCAGCACAGCAGTTGGGGTACCCATAACTGTATCTGCCACACAGGGCTGAGTATGTGGACAGCAGCACACCACCAGACCCCGCCTGCCCTGTGCCCTCAAAAGTGACCTCTGCCCTGGCCATGGCTGTGTCCCCAGAGGCCACCATGGCCACCCCAGCACTGGACAAGGCAAGTCCTCCCACAGCCACCCCAGCAGTGTCCACAGCAGTGGTTGTAGCCATCCCTGCAGGGCCCATCATGGAGGTCACAACAGTCCCAGCCACAGTGGCTGCCCTAGGGACTGTGACAAAGGACAGGTGAGCAGTGGGACAAGAGTAGGGTGGGACAAGAGGGCCCTTTGGGCCCAAGCGCTCCAACCCTGTCCCATTTCTGCAGGGAGACTGATGCCCCGCCAGAAGGAGCTGCCTTAAATGGTCCTGTGTAACGCTGCTGCCACCAGCCATGGCTACCCTGGTCAGGCTGCATCCTTAATCAGAAAACTACCTGGTGATACAATTCGGTTTTTTTATTTAATTTTAAAATAAATGCTGCATTGGTAAAGCTGGCAGTTGGAACCAGTTGGATGACCAAAGCTTGCTTCTCTGCTGCCTGGCCAAGCCACTCAGTGCTGCTCAAGGACAGAGGATGCACCTGGCTGCCCCCCAGGCCCAGGCTGCACCACGGCAATAAAGTCTCAGAAGTTTGACCTCTGTCTGCCACAGTCAGGGCGGCCTAGACCCCCTGAGATGCTACCAGGACCTGATGGGCAAGAAGGGCATGGACTCCGAGGCGTGGTTCTGATAATTTTTAACACATGCAGGAAGAGCTGAGATTTTTGCACTTTGTACCCAGCTACAGCACAGGGTCCCCGCTGGCTCAGGGCAGTGGGGAGGGCCTGGGTTGGGGATACCTGACCCCCATAAATGCACATGGGTTAGTAGCTGCTTTGGCCATGTGGGGTCAGACCTCAGGGTCGTAGTCACCTGGTGGGCCTGGGAGCTGGTGTTGAACCAGCATGCAAATTCTGACTGCCTTAAAAACCCTCTGGGGCTGGTGGGCATGTCCATGTGTCCAGAGGGGCCTGTGAGCATTGCCAGGTGGATGGTCAGGTGCCCGGCAGGAGCTGACCTGAGGAAGCAGGAGCAGCCCAGTGGGGCACTGGGGGTGCCAGGCTGGGCTCTTGTCCTGGGAGTCTTAAGAGTCCTTGACCTGAGTCTTTTAATGTTCTGAGGTCATTTGACAGGGCACCCCAAAACCTCCACCCCAATAAAAGCTGTACCCTTGACAAACCCGTGTACTGTTCAACTGTAGGCCCTGGAGCCCCAGCCTGGCAGGGTGGGATATCTTCCAGCACCGTTTCTGCCACCCCCTAGGTCTGCCCTGTGTGATGAGGGTGGGGCAGGCCACGTGTGCAGTAGGTCTCGGTATTAGAGTGGACACTGAGCTTTGTGTTTCAGAAATAAAAGCCAAACACAGAAACAGGTGGGACATGGCTGCTATCCCTGGGCCCCTTTCAGCTGCTCCCTGCTCCTGCCCTCCTGGAACCCCAGCCTCACCTACCAGGAAGGAGCAGCCACCAAATAACAATCAGAGGAGGAGAAGGTACCTGCCCAAGGCCCAGCCGGCCTCCCAGCAGCCCCATCCTGTTCTCGATGGCCCCGCAGTGCCAGTCTACTCAGGCAACAAGTGCCTTCACTCCTCTCCCGGCCCTCACCCCAGTCACCCCAAAACATGGAATCAGGAGGAAGGGGTCCTTCCTCTTGCCCCAGCCTGTGGTGTCGGCCAGGGTCTCTCCACCTGGCTCCAGGAGGCACCTGGGCACTCAGACACCCCTGTCCAACCTGGGGAGGAGGGTGTGGTGCCAGCATGGCACTGAAGCTGACAGGGCCCAGGATTACTCAGCATCAGGGCTCTGCCTCTTCACAGTCTCCCCTCTCCACACTGCTGCTCATCTCCCAGCCAAGGGCACCCGTAGGCCGCATCCCACACCACTAGTGCCCTGGTCAGGTCTCCAGTGACTACCACACCCAGGCCCCCACCTCTGTGATGCCCACACTCCTCTGCCCACTGCTGGCAGTGAGGACTCAGCAACTACGCATGTCAAGCCCTGATCCTATGGGACTTGGGTGAACAAGAAAGGAGGGTAGAGCCCCAAGATGGACATCAGGTCCCTAAGGTGAGACCCCCCGCAGGGAATGGGGTGGGGCAGGTGTCTGCAGCAAAATTCCGAGGCTCTCGGGTATCCGGGCATCAGCCCTTCATTCTGCCAGGCAGTCTGTCCCTGCTGCCTCAAGGACTCTTGTTCCCCAGATGCCCTCCTGGGTTTGGCCTTTGTCCTGTGGACCCAAGGCAATCCCAGGAGGCTGGGCAAGTGAAAGGTGTCTCCCCCTCTTCACTGCACACCTCTGGAGCCTCCCTGTGCTGCACAGGGACAAGGGGGCCTTTGGTATGGCAATCCCCAAATCACCTTGAGCTAGGAGAAGCCAGTGGCCTCGTGAAGCCCCCTCCCAGAGCAAAGGTATTCCCATGCCAACCCTTTACCCACGTGGTGGGTCCCAAGCACATGCTGAGCCTGGGAATGACAGCGGGCGTGGGGTGAGGTAGGAACTCGAGCACACCATTAGTTCTCTTTATATAGACTCTTCTAGAAACTGCCTGCAGCTGGCCGGCCAGGGCCAGTGCACAGGCAAGGCTGGAGGGAGAGGACTATTTACAGGCCCATCACAGGGCTGTACCATGGCCATGTCCCGGCACGGTCCTCGGCCATGACACCATAATAAGTTAGAGCCGGCCGGGCAGGCGGGTGGGCGGGGTGGGGGCTGTACACACAAGTGCTGGGGGCTCAGGGCCTCAATACTGTCGAGGGCCGGGGCTGTAAACATGGCCGGGGCGGCCTGCCCACCCCTAGTGGTCTGCAGTGACTGGAAGCAGAGCAGCCTGGGCGCGGCTGGGAGGTCAGGCGTCCGACAGGCAACTCTGGATTCGGTCCACCCACTGCTGGGCTGAGGGCACGTCCTGGGCACAGAAGTTGTAAACGCGACGCGTCGTCTTCACCTGGAAGAGGTACGTTGCTCTCTACGTGGCCCCACGCTGCAGGCCCTTCCCTCCCATCTCCCAAGCCCTGAGAGGCTCACGTCAAAGAAGGCCTTCTCGTCCACAGTCTTAGGGGCGCCCATGGTGGGTGTGCCTGGCCCCACAGCCTCTACTTCCGCCAAGTCAATGACACCCTTGCACTCTGTGTCCACACGATGGTCATAGTAACGCAGCTGGAGTAGAGACACAGTCAGTCAGGACTGTCCTGACCCTGCTGGTCTCCACCTCCCTGCCACTGACTGCTCACCTGGTGCTTGGTCTTGTCCAGCACGAACCAGCGGGCCTTCCAGGGCTTCATGAAGGCCCCCTTCTTATACAGGGTGCCCTCGTAGGACCTGCACTTGCAGAGCCAGGACCAGGCCGCCTGAGTGCCCAGCCCAGCCAAGGCCCGGTAGTTGGCTCATCTGCTGTCCTTGCCGGGCAGAACCAAGGCCCCTGTCCCCCCAGAACTGACCTAAGGCTATGGCCTTGAAGGAGGCCTGCCACTGCAGGCCTGGGGGCGAGGGGGACTCTCCAGGACAGAAAGGAAGGGTCCCCCCCTACAGCCATCACCTGACAGACACTGGGTCCCATGAAACCAGAGTCTTGGGTCTCAGAGAAGCAGCCTCACACACAGGGCAGACACCCACAAAGAAGAGGAGGGACACTTGGCATGCAGGTCTGTGAGGTGACCCTACAGCATGGACCCATCAAGCTCACCTGGTGGCTGCCCTAACTGATGAGGGCCCCAGGGTCCCTGTCCCTCAGCCCTGCCACAGTCACCAGCTCCACATCTCAAGACTTTCCAGCCGTCGAAACAACTGCAGCCCCTAAAGGCACCTGTCTCCCACCTGAGCAATCACCCACCCCAGGCTGCAGCTCACGGGTCCACTCAGCAGCAGGCAGCAGCCCTCATACCTGTTCTCACTTTCGGCTGTCTGGAACTGGCTGTACAGGGTGCTGGTGCTGCGGCGGGCAGCCTGGCGGGCAGATGTGGCCGAGCCACTGCTCTGGTCACTGTCGAGGCTGAGACTCAGCGTGGAGCCCATAGGCCCCTCCTGCAGGTACACGCCCAGCGAGCGGCGGTGGTGAGGCACGCTGGACACTAGCAGGGAGCTGGGGGTGCCCTGGGGGAAGAAAAGGGGCCTCTGTCAGCTGTCTCCTGGCAACACACCTACCCCGGTCCCACCTGCCCACTCACACGTCCATCTGGCCGAACTTCTAGGCGCTGAGCAGCTTTCACACGGTCCCAGGTATCCTTCCAGCGCTCAGAAGGCCGGCCCAGCTCTGTCTCCAGCCGCTGCAGCTCCTGCGGAGAATCAGTGAACATTCAGAAAGGCTGCTTGGAAGAAAATACCCAGCTGGGTGTGATGGTGGATCCCTGTAACCCCAGTGCTCGAGACTGAAGCAGGATTGCTGTGAGTTCAAGGCCAGCCTGCGCTACAAAGCAAGACCCTGTCTCAAAAAACAAAACAAAGCAAAAGATCCAGAATGAGCATGAAAAGACAAAAGAAAGATGTGGAAAAGAGATACGATGAAAAAATCTGAAATGTATAACTAGAATACAGAAGAAGGCAAGACTGGGAGAAGAGGGAAAATGAATGGGAAAAAAAATACTTAGGGGAAAAAAGTTGAAAAATTTTCCAAACCAAGGTATCCAACAACATTATCAACTGGGACTATAAACCCTAAACAGGATACGTATGTAGCTCAGTGGTGGAACATATACTTAACACATGAGGCCCTGGGCTCAATCCCCAATACCGGGGCGGGGGGTGGGGGGTGTTTAAAAAAAAGCTTTCCTCAAAAGTGTAACACAAAACTATCAGATGACTTCAAAACACAAACATGGGTGACTTGTGCTTCCAGCCAAGTCAGACATAGTCTGTAGCCGTCCAGAAGCAAGCAGGTACAAAACTGGGCAAGAAAAGCAAACGACAAAGCCGGGTGTGGTAGTCCATGCCTGTAAGTCCAGCACTTGGGAGGCTGAGGCAGGAGGATCGCCAGAAGTCTGAGAACAGCCTGGGCTGCATAGGGAGTTCAAGGCCAGCCTTTGAGACCTTGTCTCCAAAAAAAAAAGAAAAAGCAAACAATGGTTTTCAGATGTTGGACAACTAGTAGTGAGTGTAGCACAAAGTGAGCCTACAACTGATCCAATTCTTTGTCTGGCTAGAGTGCAGGGAGGTAGAAGAAGCAGCCTTGTTGAGGTGAGGAGGCAGAGACAGGAAGTTCAGGGCGCTAGGGCAGGTGGAGCTGCTGGGGGCTACATGAGGAGAGGGAGTGCCACGGAGAAGCCCCAGAAACCTAAAGAGGCTGCACAAGCCTTTGGCCAAACTAAGCTGCCCTGGGCAAAGCAGGATGTCACAAGGGCTGGCAGAGAATGCCCAGAGGGGCTGTGAGGTTATGTAGTTCTGGAAGACGCTGGGACTCCAGACAGCAGAGTGTGACACCTCACGAAGATACAGCCCTTCCAGAGAAGCCCTGCCGCCTTAGGGTGCCTTCAACATGAGCCTCGGAGAGCTGTGGCAGGCTCACTAACCGCAACCAAGAATAAACCCAAGACTCTAAAAGAGGCTCAGATATTCCTGGTCCTCAACAATAGTGCAATTCACACGTACAGCTTAGAATAAAAGATTAGAAAAGCAACAAAGGAAATGAAGGAAAAAGCAGGCTCAAATAAAATCAGTGTTAGAACTAATACACAAGAAATTTAGAAGTTATAAACATATTTCAAGACTTAAAAGAAAAAAATGAACATAATGGTTGAAGAGATGGGGAAATCTCATAAAAACTTTTGGGTTTTTTTGCTTAAATTCTTTTATTGGTACATTTTAGCCACACAACACACCCACATCCATCACTGGGTGCCTGCTCATGAAAACTTTTTAAAAAGCAGGCTAGAGATGTAGCTCAGTTGCAGAGCACATGCCTAGCATGTGGGAGGCCCTGGGTTTAAGCCCCAGCGCTATATACACACAAATAATAAGTTCGTTAAAAATGCAAATTTTGGGTCCAGGGATTTAGCTCAGTGGCACTGCGGCTGCCTCATAAGCACAAGGTCCTGAGTTCGATCCCTGGTCCCCCCCAAAAAAAGGAGGGATTGGAGATGTGGCTCAGTACAAAGAAGCTGGGTTCAATCCCCAATGGTGGGGAAAGAGAAAAAGATTTTAGAACTGAAAAGTACAGTGTTTGGGTTTTCTGGGGGGGTTTTGAGACA